CGTGGTTCAATGCAAGATTACTTTTTGTAATATAGATATATATATATATATATATATTTGTGTGTATGTCTAATGTCAATGTGAATATAATGCAAACCAAGGGAACCAATTTCCTGATCTTCTACTTTTTATTTTTATTATTTTTTATTTTTGTAATTATGTATTTTTTAAAATTATCAGATTACTCAATAATTATTTACAAGTAATTTAAATTATTCATATTCAATTACAAAAAACATAATAAATTCAGAAAATAAAAAAATTGTAAAAGAATTGAATAAAATTGTTAAAGGAAAAAAAAATCATATCCACTATTCACAACTCAAGTTTTACCACAAACAAACACAAACTCAAAAAGATTCTTATCTCAAACCATAACTCAAGTATACACAACCAAACGCCAACTCAAGTAACAACTTCAACTCAAGTTATAACTCAAACTCAACTCAAAAACTTACTCAAGAATACTTGCAAAAGAACAAGCCCTAAAGCTTGTTCAGTTGCACTTTTGAGTTATGGTGATTTGAGTGTAGATTTTGAGTTGAATTTGAATTATAACTTGAGGTGAAGTTGTAACTTGAGTTTGTGTTTGGTTGTGTACATTTGAGTTATGGTTTGAGATGAAAATCTTTTTGAGTTTGTGTTTAGGTGGGTCAAAACTTGAGTTTGTATTTAGATAGTATTTTAATAAAAACTCAATGATGATGGAAAATTTAATAGGGTATATGAGTTGGTTTTTATTCGTCTCTTCGTTGTGAACGCATAAAAAAAGAATCATCTTAATCGGAATTAAAACGAAAAAGTTATGACGTTTTTAGGTAACTCGTAGCTCAGACCCAGTTTACTCAACAACTTCTTCACCTCGTAATGCAATGTAAGTAACTTGTTCCCTTCAGGGAGTTCATCTCTCAGTAGCTTTAACATTTCATCCATGCACTCATTATGCCACTTGTACAACACCTTTAGATGCATTAGTTTCACAAAGAAATTCAACGATGAATACTTAGTGCGGCCCAGATACAATCTGACTTGGAGCTCGGATAAGAGATCGCTAAATTCATCGTAATGTGTATCTTCTATAACCACTTCTGTCTCACCTAAGGTTTCATGATCATCATTAATTCCAGCCACATCATTTAGCACTGCAAACATCTCGTGAACTGGTTCACTAACAACTTTAGCAGCACGTACTTCACCATGGTGAATCTATGTGGTGTAACTTGTATAAAAACCCCATCGATGTATGTGCGCTTTCACTGTTTCTAGTGGCAGCATCTCATGATTTCTACACTTGATACACAGACAACTAATACCCCTGGTTGAATTTGCATAATTCTTTCCAACCTCAATAAAAAGCACACAAACCATCACAGTACTCATCAGACAACCGGTTCTTTAAATAAATCTAACTTTTGTCCATAAGCATCTCAACTACAAAGAATTTATGAAGTTTTATCAAATTTTATGAAAATTAACACAAATTATTTTATAATAAGTCTTTAACATTCTATTAACTATTTTATAATAATTATTTTTAAAATTTTTTATTATTAATATAATAATAATTAAAACTTTTTTTTCATTTATTAAATTTGTTAACATATTTTTTCTTTCATTTATAACATTTTCTCAAATTGTTATAATATAATAAATAATTACTTTATTTACATTTTTTTCATTTAATTTTCAACTTCATTTTTTTTTATTTTTTATCATTTAATTATTAAACATATCACTATTTTTTAACTTCTTAACATTTTCATTTAAATTTTTTTTTTACCAACAACATAATCATCATCACATCAAAATTATCATACAAATTTCAATCTAATTATCACAAATTCCAATTTAAATTCTAATTTACAATCTACCACATTCACAATTCTAATTTACCACATTCACAATTATACCACATGCAATTCTAATTCTAATTTACAATCTACCACATTCAATTCTAATTTACAATATACCACATTCACAATTCTACCCCATTCAATTCTAATTCTAATTTACCACATTCACAATCTACCAACAACATCTAAATACATCCAAAACCACAAACCAAATTCAAAATCCAAAACAAAACCACAAAGCACAATCAAAATAAAAAAAATCAAATTACAAAATACCAAAAATATTAACTCACAAAATCCAAACACCGGGGGTTGAACAACGGTAAGGTAGCAGGGCTGGGAGGGTGACGGCGGCTGGAATATGAGGACAACGACCGGAAAAGCGGGCGGCGACTACCAAAGACTGTTGTTTTTAGACTTTCTTGAAAACATTTTCCCCACAAATCAAAGATTTGAAGAGGGAATGATAAATCTGACTTTTTTAGAGTTTTACGGCGGTTTATAGAGGTTTTAGACGGAGAGGGAAGGAGAAAACCGAGAGGGTGATCAAAAAAATGGAGGAAAGGGTTCTGCAATCAAGTTTATATAGGTGGATTTTTACAACGACAATATGTCGTCGTAAAAAATTAAAAATGTCATCGCATCACCTCATTAATATTTATGAGCATATTCTTAGAATATTCCCATATTCCTTAGTTATGACGACTTTTTATTATCGTCATCGCAAATATTTGTTGGGAAACCGTCAAATTTTCCACCTTTTTTTTGTGAGAAATTAAATTCGATAAATATTTACGACGACAGTTCATACATGTCGTCGCGAAAAAGTAATAGTGGTTGGAAGAATTTTCTGTAACTAATTTTTGCGATGACATTTTATACTTGTCGTCGCAAATAATTCTCAGAAAATCACCAAATTTTCTACCTTTTTTGTGAAATATTCAATTTGATAAATATTTACGATGACAGTTCATACATGTCGTCGCAAAAAATTAATAGTAGTTGAAAGAATTTTTTGGAACTAATTTTTGAGAAACTGCCAAATTTTTCACTTTTTTTGGCCACGTCACTGCCAGCTGTAACCGTGACTCTTAGTGACAACATGTCGTCACAATTAATGGTCAAATTGGCGCCAAACATGTTAGCGCCATATTAGTTTTGGCGCCAATAAATATTGTTGTCACCACAAATATGAAAAGGTTCTCTTCCAAGGTTTAGCGATGACATGTCGTCGCAAATATTGACATATATGCAACAATCAGTCCTCGTAAATATTAAATGCGACGAAACAATTTTGCTTCTTTTATTGCAACGACATGTCGTCACAAATATCTTACTATTAGCAACGACAAATGTCATCGCTAATAACCCTTTTTGTTGTAGTGTTGGGATTCCCCGTTGCGGGGTCTTCCCCATACCCACCCCCTTCCCAATCGAATGTAATTAAGCATTTCAAAATTATTGTAACTTAAAGCAAAAAAAAAAGTAGAAATTCAACGTAAGTTTAGACTGAAATTAATGGTTCCTCAATACAAACTAAATTCAAAACTTATGCCAAAAAAAAAAAAGTTGTAGAGCCAAAAAATGTCTTATTAATAGTAATAATTAACACATATGTGAAAAGTATATGTATGTATATGTATATAAAATATATAATATTATATCACATATGTATATCGGGGCAGGGGTAGGTGGGGAGTACTTTCTCCGTCCCCGCCCCGCTAAGATTCGGGGATAAGATTTTGTCCACATCCCCAATTATTATCCTCCATCCCCACTTTATTCGGTGCGAATCCCTATGGGCCTTATCCCTACAGGAAATATTGTCATCCTTAGATCTTAGTGTGCTGAGGTTATTTTCTGTTTTCATACTATAAGTGTACGTCAATCTCTTTGTTAGGTCAATAATCTTATATTGTGATTTTTGTTTGTCTGTTTTTATTTGAGTACAAGTTTCTCTTAATAAAATGCTTAATTTTAATATTTAAGATCTCACTTTGATAATTTTTGTTCTCATCAACAACAATTGTTAATTAATAGACAAAATACCTCATATATTTTCATAAATACTCGCAATTTTTCTGTTAACTGATAAATTGGACCCTAAACTATATATATGGTATGTTTACCTACACGTAATCAGAATGAGCATGAATCAGAGTGGGCAGGATTTGGAGTGGGTAGGATTCGGAGTGAGAAATCGGAGTCAGAATAAGCTGTTTACTTGGTGATAGGATTCAAAATCAGAGTCATTCTAAATCTCATTCATACGTTTATTTACACCCAGAATTAGAATGAAAAAGTGTAAAAGTACTAATATACCCTTTAAATCAATTTGATATTTTCAATTTAAAAAATATATTGTGTACTTATTATATTAAAATTAATCATAATTAAAATATTTAGTGTAATAATTGGGTACTAAAATAATAAATATAAATTGTACAACTATTTAAAATATAAAAATAAATTTTAAATAAATTTAAATAAAAAAAAATAATGTTAAAAAATAAAGTATATTATTAATTTATAAAAAAATAAAGTACATATTTATTATATTAAAGTTAATAATTATGTTAATACTATAATATTAGGCAAATAAAATAATAAATATATGTTACATTTATTATTTTTTGAATTTTATTTTTAATTGTGTATTTATAAGTAAAATAAGGGTGTAATAGTAAATTAATATTAATATTAAGAATGAGAGTCTCAATCCTAAGAGGGCATGGGAATGTCAATCCCAAATTTGAGTAGGATCCACCAATCTTACTTCCATTTCAGGATAAAAAAGAATAAGTAAACATGAGATTGACTTTTATTCTCTACTCTTATTCTTTAATCTTGATAAGTAAACATGTCAATAAAATGTGGCATTGGAAACTTTAATCGTAAGAATTATCAAATTTTGGATCCTAAATGGTAAAATCAAAGGTAAAACGTCTAGAATGCAAACGACCGAAAAAAAAAAAAAAAAAGAAAAACCAGGGTGCATTTGTGGGAAGAAATTTAGAAAAAAAAAAAAGTCCCTGAAATAGGAGTCACGGAAAGTCAAGGAAGCTTCTTCAACGTGGTCAAATCCAAATGGCGAGTCAGAAAACAACCATTTAATGAGAGAGGTTCACCAGTCACCCATAAATAAAGCCAAACACCAATCGGATTCGCCACAAAGCAAAGGAAGTAGCTGTAAGTGGAACACACAGAGAGCTTCACAGAAATCCCAATTATTCCCCAATTCCCAATCGCTCTCTCGGTCTAGGGTTTTAAGAGAAAAAAAATGATAGAGCTTCTGTACATGGTGATCGCGGTGGAGATGGTTTTGATTCTGACGCTAATCTTCAAGACGCCTCTGAGGCAGTTGGTTTTAATGGCGTTGGACAAGGTCAAGCGAGGGAGGGGACCGGTCATGGTAAAGACGATCGCCATAACGGTGTTCCTTCTGTTCGTCGTCAGCGTCTGCAGCTTCGTCAACATCCAGAACCACATCACCGAGGCCGGTGGCGGCATCAATCCCACCGACCAGGTTCTCATGGCCAAGCACTTGCTCGAAGCTTCTCTCATGGGTAAACTTATTCTCTATGCTTATCTTTGAATACAGTTGCTTTTATGATAATTGGATTGGATTTCCAGTGATAAATTAAAGTGGTTTACTCCTCTGTTTGTTTCTGGTCTTCGGATTTTTTCTTCTTTTTAGTTTAGATATTAAGGGTTGTTTGGTTCTGGTTTAGTTGCATAAAGATTAGAAGTTTCTAAAGAACTTCCAATTTATGTAGGATTTTGGGTGTGCGTTTTATCAATCTTCCCGAGGAAGTGAAATATGACCTTAAGATATGTATATCTTCATTTTTAAGTGACTGAAAATTTGGGGATGTGAGAAAATTGGGAATTGCAATTTAATTGCCGATTAATTTGAAATCAAAACCTCATATTTGGGATAGCTGTGGAATTAATTACCTTAGGCTAAGTTTTAAAATTGGATAGCTGAGGATAGCTGTGAAGAATTATGTTTTAGCTCTGTTTCTAATTCATAGGTTTTCAACTTGAGATTATTATGAATTTTCCGAACCTATACGTTGAAGGGTCACATTTAGGATTCGCTTCCATCACTGCCATAATGAAAGATTATGCTATAATTGCTAGTGTATATAAAAATTGTAAGAAATTTGGTGGTACTTGTGGGTGATGCAGCCCAGTAACGCCACATAATTGGTGGAGCATTTGTATCAGAAAAGTGTTGGAACAAATTGATTGGAGTTAAAATTAAATGAGTGTGTTAAGGTGCCAGCATTCTTTGGTCCTTTTCATTTTCTTTAACGCTTCATTTTATCTCCCTCTGCATTTATGTTGCTGTTTCTGCTAAATTTTCATGATGTCGTAGCTAATCTTTTATTTTATTTTATTTTTGGTGGCTTTGTACGCTTAGAGTTTGGTGGTAGCAGGGAAAATTGGAATGAGAGGGAGAGGAGTGAGGATTAGTGGGAAGGATTTTATGATTTATATATGGTTGTTTGGTAAGATAGAAAGGAAGAGGGAACGGATTTGGTGAGGGATTTCAAATCCATCAAAAAATCCTAATTTGATTTCTCCAAATATGGAGAGATTAGAGTAGGGAATACATACCAAACACATTAAGAGAAATGTCCTCCCCTTCCTCTCTATTTACCCACCTAGGTTATATGCCTTTGTTTCCTTCCTATTTCCTTTCCCTCTTACCAAACATAGCCTTACGGCCGTGTTAGAGCTTTATGCTTTCTGCAGTATGATCTCTTCTCATCTTAATATATTAGCAATCCAGGTGCCAAACTAGCATTTATGGAGACAAATAAGGTTGGGGATGGTTGGCAAGAATCACTTTTTATTATCTAGACATAAGGATTACATTTCATTAAGATCGCATAATTCAGAATTAAGCTCTTACAGAAGGGGATGAAGAGCATTCTTCACTCTTGCTTGGCATCATTATACTGCTAAATGTAGTCACCAACAAGTAACACGCTCTAACTAACTTGATGCACATATGCATTGAAACTTTGCGATACTTGAAACACCAAATGAGGCATTTCACGCATCACATGTCCTCAATAATACTCTCGTGACAATCTGACACCATTTATAGGCACTTCTTGTCGAGAAACCATAGCAACATCATGGGGCTCAGTGCATCCTCTCATTTAAGAATAACTGTTTTCAAGAAAGTTAATTTATTTGTCAAAACAAGAGGCCCATATGCTGTGCCCATCTTTTATGTTATTATTTGAATGATGCATGTTGTTTCTTTAACCATTTACGTCCTATACTGTTAATCTTAAACAAATAAAGAAGGCATGATTCTGCAGGATTTTTTTCACCCTAGGAGATTCTGCAGTTATATATGTCATCTTTTGACTATACTAAGCAACTGGCGTTCTCCATTTGGTACAATGTTTGCTTTGTTGTGTATTAGCCGTTCTAAAATTTGATTTCCATGTAATCAATTGCATGCAGGATTTTTGCTATTCCTATCTTTGATGATAGATAGATTACACCATTACATAAGAGAACTTCGGATACTCAGGAAGACCATGGAAGCTGCAAAGAAACAAAACCGAGGCCACGAAAATGGGAAAAATGGCAATGCAGCAGAACTTAAAGCCTCGGAGCAAGATATTGCTCAATTGAAGGCAACGATCAAGAAGCTGGAATCTGAATGTAAGACAAAAACAGAGGAGGCGGAGGCTGCAGAAGGTAAAGCTGAAGCCCTGAAAAAGCAATCAGAAGGATTTCTTATGGAATATGATCACTTGCTAGCGGAAAATCAAAATCTTCGGAACCAGCTAGAGTCGATTGATCAAAGCCTGTTGGCGTCTGATAACAAAAAGAGCATTTGATGAAGCAATTTCCTAGTAAAGTCAGTTTTCTGTTTATACTAGTTGTGCGAGGACGGGCTATGTTAGATGTGGTTCGTGATCAGAGAGAAGAGGAGGGGCCTGTAATCTGATTTGTATCACTAGATTTCCTCTAATGTGTTGTCAAACTCTGCAGTCTCGAGTACAATAATGAGTTCTATTTGATTATATACTTTCCAAACGTAGCCGGTTAAACGCCCTTGGTCCGAATAGGCACCGTATGAACTCGACATCGATCTTCCCTCATTGTAAACACGCGAGGGACTAGACCCTATCAGGCAAAAAGAGATTATCCTAATCTATTTTTAGTAGAGCAAACCTCGCAAATATGTTCAAACTAAACCAAAAGCACACGAGTATACATGTGCAGTCATGAGCAATCAACCGTTAAAAAGATAAGAAAAGGTTGTTTTGGTTATCCTCATGAAAGAAAAAAGACGAGAACAAAAATGTTTTTGTTACCATGGAGAACGTGCCTGAGGCACGTTCCTCATTTGCTAGTATAACAAGAAGGGAATATGGCAGTTGGATACTATGAGGCAAGAGCAGATGAATATTAGTTAGTGGGGTCTAAACAACCACAAGTTACAACCTTTTGGTGAGCTTACGTCAAAAGCGACGTTGTCAAGAAAAGTACAAAACTCTCGTCTGAAATCTAGAAGAAATGACAAAAGAAAACAAAAACTTCACTTACAATCCAGCTTCTTTCACAAAATTACTCGGATTTGTCTCGATAGTGATCGAGAAAAGAGACCTTAGATCTCTATCGAAAATATATAGGGATTAGAAAAGCGGCTATCTTCAAGCCAACAACAAAATTAACGGTATGAGCCACTTTCTTCCTTATTTGAGAACCAAAGTAAGAGCATTTCATTCATTCTCTTTTATGTGTTTATTTACTATTAGATAGTGTAATGAGAAACAACCCTATTCTCTTTCTTATGTTTACTAAACTTAGGAATATCAATATTATGAATGTAATCACTAAAATATTTTTTTACACAATTAAATAATCATTTATCGTATAGTAATTCATTAACAGTAGATACGTAAATTTAGCATTCATTCTATTTGACAAGAAATAAATACTAAGAGAGTGTGAGGATTGATATTCACTTTCTTCATTTCTTATATTATGTGGGGCCCACTAATTTTTTTTATTACTAATTTTGTATGTAAACACGTTATTAGATGAGAAAAGGAATCACTCCTTACTTATTCTTTCCCTTTGATGCAAAGTGAACATTCCCTAAGTGTAATTTTTATTTTTGGCTTTTGCACCAAGGATCTCACCGTCGTGGTCCCTCGGTACTGTATCAATGCCAATTGATAATGCTGTCTTTACAGAAGTATGGAAAAGTGGAGTAATGGGGACTGAGAGCCAGTTGTTCAAGTACTACCTGCTCCGTAATGAGGATGTCTTCGTAATTTGAACTACTTACTAAATTTATGGTTCTGTGACTTCTGTCTTGTTACAAACTCCAGCTTGCAAAATCCAGTGGTACAGTCCTGTGAAACTTAATATATATTCACCAATAAAATCATATATATTATGTTGAGAACTTTCTAAAATATAGCTTCCACCCTTTCTTTGGAATGTTTGGTAACTAATTTATCCGGAAAGTTGGTCTCGTTAATTATCTAGCTTCATCATGGGAATCAAACTCGTCCGCTTGAACACAGCTTTAGGTGAAAATACTTACATCTACCCCGCTATATATATATATATATATATTATCAATCACGTTCAGGAGCAACTAATTGGGAAAAGAACATTACGTGTGTACGAGGAATGATTAGGCAGATGATGCCGAGGAGCCAACGGCACGGCCATGTGGGTCGTCAGCTCAAGGAGAAAACTTAAAAACTCCAGCTGCACCTTTAATTTTGGAGAAAATTTGGTTAATAAATCTGCTCAAGTTCTTCTTAGCAAATAAAAGAAAAAAGAAAAAATAAAATCTGGTCATGTTCAATGTGGCAATGTAAATAGACTATTAGGCTCATGTACTGTAGTCCTACACTCACTAGTATATAAAAGAAACTGATCCGCTCAGTCCTTCCAAATTCCTTGTCTTCCCTCATTGTGAGGGACTAAAAACCCCATCATGCAAAAAGAGATTATCATAATCTATTTTTAGTGGAGAAAACCTCACAAAATATATTAAAACTAAAAGTTAACTGGAGATGCGATAAAAGCATATATAAGTAGACATGTGCAATCGACCATAAACCAGAGAAAAAGAGTCAATTCATAATGGGCGCAGCTGTCTCTAGATTGTATCACATTTTTCTTCCTAATAAAGTAAAAAGTCTGAGAGGAGACAACCAACATTGGCATATTTAAATTCTTTGGGCGTTACTAAAGGGATCTCATAAATGTTGAAAAAGAATGTTTACTGATGACTCTACAGACATGCTCTATCAGAGCGCGCCACCTCAACCCTACTGAATGTACTAATATTAAGGATATGAGGAGGCGTGGTTTTCCAAATACTTTAAGTTGATCAATACCAGGCTGATAGTAAACAAGCTTTCACAATAAATACTCCAAAAGAGATGACACAACACTCAACTCAAATCTTTGACCACAAGTCCACCACGATACACCATTACCGCTAGACACCACACTCGGTGGTGATTAATGGACACTTTATAAACTGACATGACGACGGGAATAATAGTTAGATAGTAAGAGAAGATGGATATTAGTTAGTGTTTTTATTTATAATTTTTGCTAAAAACAAAGTGAAGGTTTTGAGAAAAGCACATAAGCGTACGTCGTCTCAAATGTAGCAGAAATATGTCAAAAGCAACTGATCAGTGTATTCCTACTACTTTTGCGCAACAATTCACTTATAATCTAGCTAATTCTTTCACAAAAATTAGTGGACGGTGAACGATAAAGAGACCCCGAACGGCAAATCTCTAGCAAAAATACATTCCAAGGGATTACAGCGTGCCTGTTTTAAAGCCAACCGCAAATTTAGTAAGCGTGTGAGCTACTTTGTTCTTCATTGAGAAACAACGTAACACTTTCTTTTCCCAACTTAATCACAAAGCAAATACATATTTTAAGATATTAGTGGACCATTCCTAGTAAATTTGTCTGGCACTTTTGTGTCCATTGCACCAAGGACCGTATCGTGCAATCCCTAAGCACTAGCCGGATTAATTAAGAGCAAGTTGATCAAGTACTGCCTGTCTCGTTACAAACTTTAACTTGCAAAATCAAGTGGTATAGACCTTGGGAACTTAAGATAGCACATATTCACCAATAAAACAATGAATATATTATTAAGGACTTTCCATATTATGCAGCTTCACGTCTTTTTTTTTTTTGTACTCTTTTGAATGTTTGGTTACTAGTTTGTCTGGGAATCTGGTCTCTCATTTTACTCATCTAGCTCAATCATGGGAATCAAACTCATGGGTTTGGACACAAATTTAGATGCATAACTTATAACCTACCCCACTATATACATATATATACACGCACACACATACATACATATTATCGATTATGTTAAGAACAACGTGACATTATGTGTTTATAAGGAACAGTTAAGCAGATGATGCCAAGGAGGAGCCGGTGGCACCATGTGCGTCGTTAGCTCAAGAAAAAAATTTAAAAACTCCAGCTACATCTTTAATATTGGAGAAAAATTACCTACTTTGATAAATCTTTACAAGCTCAATGTGGCACATCATGAATAGACAATTAGGCTCATGGATAGTAGTCATCACTTACTAAATACAGAAAAGTTCACTCACTAGATTGTCAATATTTCAAATATTTCCTTGTCTAGCTAGCTACCAAAATGGTCAAAAGATGTAGCCAAGTGGATCAAGGCAGTGGATTGTGAATCCATCATGCGCGGGTTCAATTCCCGTCGCCCATACCCATTAATTATAAATTTAATTAATCACTCCTATCTTTTATTTTTTTAAGACGAAGAAATAATTCTATTTTCTCTCTAATTTACTGCAGCAACGAAGAATCAATTTATCATTATATTTATTTCTTTTTCGACTTCTTCTTTTAAGTGCAGGATATCCCCGTGCGGCAAGTACTCTCTTCTTAAAAGCATTCTCATGTCTACTAGACTTAGCCGCAACCTCAATAGGAGCCAATACCAATATTTATAAGTGCAAATATAATTTCAACAAGCTCAAAGAGACCCACATTGTGTTCTACATGCACGACTATGCCACCGGCAGAAATGTCACCGACACCTACATACACAACAAGCCTGCCGACATCCTCAAGTTCGGCAGTGCTATTGTGGTCGACGACAAGCTGACGGAGGCCTACAACTGGGACTCGCCGCAAATTGAAGTACAGGGAGGTTTCTGTGGTGTCTGGGACAGGCAAGTTTCGGTTGGCCAGGGGTTTTGCCGTTTTAGAAACTGTGTTCCTGGACATCCCTAACGTCAATGCCATCGTTAGGTGGAACCTCACTGTTTTCAACTACTACTGATCACTTATAATTGATGAAAAAATTAAGTATGCATGCATTTCTTTGGATTCTAGGAGAAGTCTTATGTGTGTTTTTTCTTCTTTGAGTATTAATGCTATTCACATGTGTCTCTAGAATAAGAGACCTGCATCTCTCGATGGTTTTCTCAAAATTTTTCCCTTATTAAGTGTTGAGATTATACGCCTTCGTTTTTCTCAGCCGTTTTGTGGGGTAAATATCAAACTATAGAAAATGTCGCAGTCATTCTTATAAGATTATTATTATATAACGAAAATAAGCGCTCGAGATTTCCCATTGTTTTGGAGCATATTAAACTGTGAAAAGAAGCGTTTTGATATAAGTTTTCAATATGCAAGCTTTACTACACTTACTAATAAGATTTTTTTTTTTTGCTCAAGGAAGTACAAAAACCAAATTTCTTGTTAGTTGTGTGTGTGCGTGTGTGCGTGTGTTTTCTTTTTTTTTTTTTTTTTCAAATCAAATGATGAGAGAGTGTAGAACATCTCAACATAAAAGTTGGCACCTTTAGAGCCCTCATTCCACATCGAATTCCTCACTCTCAAATTTATTAATGAAGAAGAGAAAAATAATAATAAGAACATAAAACGGGAAAACAAATGAAAGCCACAAGATCAATAGAACGCAAGCAGGCACAAAGAAAAGCAAACACTCGCACGTATGTAATATTTGATTCGAAATTATGACTAAACTTCTACCTTGCTAGCAGTTTCGTTTTAGTTATTGTTCTTTTTAGTAGAATAAAGATAAAGATATAAAATTCATTAGGTCATTTACAATCCATTACTCCATTTTAGAGTTGCTCCATCTTCAAAAAGAGTAATTTTAGTCTCAAGAAGTTATGACATGGTTATTTTTCTTCATTATTTTTAGTTGTTTACAATGCTACTTAAGCGTTATGACATGGTTATGACTTGGTATTAATTCTACTTAGTTTAGGGGACAACTTCATTACTTCACTCAAAGTTGATTATGAGAGGATTCAGATCTTCAAGATCAAGAATGATTTTTTTTATTTTTATTTTTTTGACAAAGCAAGAAAGCAAAAAATCTTATAGACTCGCCGAAGATTATTCCAATTACGTACGTATTTCATAATTCCTATTTTTGATGTTTTGCCTTAATTTTATACGCTTGTCCAATACAGTCCATCCACTAGCATGTATTCTAAACCCTCAGCATGTCCTTGATAGCAAAAACTAAATGTAGGGCCAGTTTAGTTCGCTGATTCGAGTTGAGATGTGACTTTATATGAGAGCTTTTTACTAAAATAAAAAAGTTAGATGTGACTGTTTCTGAGAGTTTTTTACTGTAGCAAAACTCAAACTCTAAACTCGAATCGGTGAAATATACAGGGCCATAATGCACACCAATAATTCATTTTCTGATTATTTCGTTTTTCAACAAGTTCATCACATAAGGCGACGTTTTGGTTGTAGAATAACAAACATACAGGGAGGAGCTTTGGTGCTACCTAATTTGTTTCCTATTCGTTGAAGTTGTATGATGCATAGAATTTTCCACGTGCTTAATTACCGATATTATTGGATCATGAACATTAATACTTCTAACCAAATATTCGATCTAAAATTTAGACAGCCCACAAGGTGACCAAAAATTAACCTGCCTCATTCTAATTTAAAGAATTCAAAATTTCAAATGGATATGATTTGACAATTTTTATGTCATTTTCACGTGGAGTTCAATACATATATATATATATATATATGTATATGTATATGTATCACACACACACCATTGCAGCAATACTACTCCCCAATCAAACCCAAAATGGCGCAAATTGTAGCAACCAAAATGGCCTCTGATCGGTTCCTAATGGCAACACTCTTCGTGCTAGCCTTAGTCATATCTTCATCAGAAGCAGCCACCAAAAGCCGATTCCGAAAGCTCAAAGAGACCAACTTGGTGTTCTACATGCACGACTATGCCACCGGCCGCAACGCTACGGTGCTCAACATAGCCGGACCCGCGAACCATTTCGACATCTTAAAGTTCGGAACCATGGTCGCGATCGACGACAAGCTAACTGAGGCCTACGACTGGGACTCACCGCAGGTTGGGAGGGCTCGCGGAGTCTACGCCAACTCCGCAGTGGAGGGCAACGATCTGTATCTGTCGATGTCGCTGGTTTTCACCAACAGGGAATACAACGGAAGTACCCTGCAGATACAAGGTTCTGATAGGTTTTTCATCAAGTACAGGGAGCTATCGGTGATGTCTGGGACGGGCAAATTCCGAATGGCTCGGGGTTTTGCCATTTTAGAAACAATGCTCCTCGACTTGCCAACCTTGAATGCTATCCTTAGGTGCAACGTGACTGTTTTTCACAACTGATCTAATGATCATGACCAATAATTAACTAGTTCACTATTGATGATCTTGTTATAGTTAAAGTAAGCATGCATGTATTTGGATTTTGGAAAGCGTTTGGATTTGATCATGGTTTGACTAAGATATGATATGGAATAAAATGATGAAATGATCATATCATATGTGGTTAATTTGTCCTGCAAGTTGTATTTGTGACATGGTTTCTCAAATTTGATTCCCCTACTAGTACGTAATAATAAAAGATGTGTTTTTTATTTTTATTTATTTTTATGTGTGTTTTGCTGAAAACTTTAGTTTATCCCAATATTCATCTCAAGTTGAGGTACAAATTCAATAACGTGTTGGTGACATAAATGATCAAATACAAATGCGTTATTTTCAAAGAGAGCAAGATGAGATGGGTACGATCTTCCAACAACAGCTACGAAATGAGAGCCTTCTTTTATTTGCTGATCAAAGCTACGAAATGAGAGCCTTCTTAAAAACGTGCGAAGTGAGATGGTAATTTTCATGAATAGACCAGAGGAGCATCTTTATCAAATTTCAATCATCCCAACAACTCCACTACTGCCATCCATCACCATGATCACTTGCATGAGTCGTTTGATATATATTTAAGTAAAATTTGTTTATACTTGGAGATATACTCATTTATTTTAGTTATATGTTTATGTATTCAGTTTGATATTCTTATTTTTCGATATATATATATATATATATATGTTCAACTATTTATTTGATGTTTACTTTCAAACCTCAATCGAATTTTATGCTTTCTATACCTACAACAAAATTGACATTTAACATCTCTAAATAGATGACGGTTTTATAAAAAAACTGTTGTATAATATGCTGGTCCAAAATGCGGGTCAGCTAGCAAAATATTAGGTGGTGGTTTCCTGATGTCAGTTGTTTTCACAAATAGGGAATTTAAATGATTTTGGCCTATGTAAACATTTTGAAAATGATTTTGAGAAAATAACATGGCTTATGCTATTAAATCATCATTGTGTTAAATGAGGTTTTGAGAAATATATTTTATAAAGAAAAGTAGTTTAAGGAAATAGCATGAATAATGCTATTGAATTCTTAATGAACTGAATTAAGGTTTTAACAGATATTTTCTTAAAATGAGATATTTTAATACATGATAAAACGCTTGATTATCTAGAGATCAGGATATGGAGATCGTATCCTTGGGGGTAGGACCCGAAACCCGTACGGGCCACTACGGTGGTGAATTAAGGCTTAGCGATGCTGTAAGTAATTTATCATTAAATTACTTGCTGATGCATGAAACTGGAACTTTAAGATTTATTTTCTTTATTTAAAGGACGATTGGTTCCGAATGATATGTTCAGACCCTGAGCACTTTTATTTATAAAGTTTTATAAAATTATATCCTACTGAGCCTTCCGCTCACTTTACTATTATGTTTTCAATGTTTTAAACCTCATTCAGAGTTCGCAGTTTAGATTTATAATATGACAAGTGGATGCCAATAGATTGAATGCACGAGATTCGAAGCGGTACATTTATTTCGGATTTACAGTTTTAATTATGAGATGTACTGTATTCCTGCATATAAACTGTATTGGTCGACATTGTCTCAGAATTGTATTATTTTAACTTTATTGACTGTTTTAAATATTGTTTGTAAAAGAAAGACTCCGGAGCAATATATTTTAATATTTATTTTGGTATCTGTATATTTTATTTTATTTTTATGGATTTTTCTTAATTAATCTAGTTTAATTAAGTTAATTTTCTTTAATTATATTCCAATAATCACGGTCTCATCTTTTGGGGTCGTGACAATAGTACATATTAATGTAATAAAATAGTATATTATTTAACCAACTCGTAGAAAATAATAACTTAATAATATTAATTAAATAAAAATTTATTTAATTAAACACGAGCTTACATTAACTAAAAAAAATTGACAATTAAACATTACATTTAATAACAATACATAAATAGAAACACAAAAAATTACATCTTCAAATGTTTTCCTTTTTTTTTTTTCAATAAACGTCTCCAAATATTTTCACAAATATTTAAATTAACCAAAGTTGTTTAAGAAAATTAGAGACTGAGATACCAAAAGGAAGATTTTAATTTTCTTGTTAAGGAGGGATTGGCTCCAGGTGTACATAGGGTAAAATCTGCTGGGGATATAAAAATAGTATATTATTTAATAATCACGGTCTCATCTTTTGGGGTCGTGACAATAGTACATATTAATGTAATAAAATAGTATATTATTTAACCAACTCGTAGAAAATAATAACTTAATAATATTAATTAAATAAAAATTTATTTAATTAAACACGAGCTTACATTAACTAAAAAAAATTGACAATTAAACATTACATTTAATAACAATACATAAATAGAAACACAAAAAATTACATCTTCAAATGTTTTCCTTTTTTTTTTTTTCAATAAACGTCTCCAAATATTTTCACAAATATTTAAATTAAACCAAAGTTGTTTAAGAAAATTAGAGACTGAGATACCAAAAGGAAGATTATAATTTTCTTGTTAAGGAGGGATTGGCTCCGGGTGTACATAGGGTAAAATCTGCTGGGGATATAAAAATACATAGGCCCCTTTCCTTCTCCTTTGGATGAATGGGATGGTTTAGAAGGCGCTTTCTGATCTACGGTCCCTCGGAACGAGGGGTTAGGTAGGTGATATGGGCCCTCTAAGAATATAATATAACTAACTAATTTGGCATGCATGCTAAAATACTTATTCATTCAAAATAGAAGCCACTTGATTCTAACGATTACATTTTAGTTTATCAAGGCATATCTCTTAAATTGTGACTAAAAGTTTATCGTTTAAAGTTTATACGCCTGTCCATACAATCCATCCACTAGCATGTATTCTAAACCCTCAGCATGTCGTTGATAGCAAAAGACAAATGTAATACACACCACTAATTCATTTTCTGTTTATTTCGTTTTCCAACAAGTTCATCACATAAGGCGACGTTTTGGTTGTAGAATAACTAACATATAGTGAGGAGCTTTGGTGTTACCTAATTTGTTTCCGATTCGTTGAAGTTGTATGATGCAGAGAATCTTCCACGTGCTTACTTACCAATATTATTGGATCATGAACATTAATACTTCTAACCAAATATTCGATCTAAAATTTAGACAGCCCACAAGGTGACCAAAAATTAACCTGCCTCATTCTAATTTAAAGAATTCAAAATTTCAAATGGATATAATTTGACAATTTTTATGTCATTTTCACGTGGAGTTCAATATATATATATATATATATATATGTATATGTATATGTATCACACAGACACCATTGCATCAGTACTACTCCCCAATCAAACCCAAAATGGCGCAAATTGTAGCAACCAAAATGGCCTCTGATCGGTTCCTAATGGCAACACTCTTCGTGCTAGCCTTAGTCATATCTTCATCAGAAGCAGCCACCAAAAGCCGATTCCGAAAGCTCAAAGAGACCAACTTGGTGTTCTACATGCACGACTATGCCACCGGCCGCAACGCTACGGTGCTCAACATAGCCGGACCCGCGAACCATTTCGACATCTTAAAGTTCGGAACCATGGTCGCGATCGACGACAAGCTAACTGAGGCCTACGACTGGGACTCACCGCAGGTTGGGAGGGCTCGCGGAGTCTACGCCAACTCCGCAGTGGAGGGCAACGATCTGTATCTGTCGATGTCGCTGGTTTTCACCAACAGGGAATACAACGGAAGTACCCTGCAGATACAAGGTTCTGATAGGTTTTTCATCAAGTACAGGGAGCTATCGGTGATGTCTGGGACGGGCAAGTTCCGAATGGCTCGGGGTTTTGCCATTTTAGAAACAATGCTCCTCGACTTGCCAACCTTGAATGCTATCCTTAGGTGCAACGTGACTGTTTTTCACAACTGATCTAATGATCATGACCAATAATTAACTAGTTCACTATTGATGATCTTGTTATAGTTAAAGTAAGCATGCATGTATTTGGATTTTGGAAAGCGTTTGGATTTGATCATGGTTTGACTAAGATATGATATGGAATAAAATGATGAAATGATCATATCATATGTGGTTAATTTGTCCCTGCAAGTTGTATTTGTGACATGGTTTCTCAAATTTGATTCCCCTACTAGTACGTAATAATAAAAGATGTGTTTTTTATTTTTATTTTTTTTTTTATGTGTGTTTTGCTGAAAACTTTAGTTTATCCCAATATTCATCTCAAGTTGAGGTACAAACACTACAAAAATAGTGACTTTAAGAGACCAACCCTTTTGCTACAAAAATATTTTTGGTAGCAGAAAACACACTTTTTGCTATCAAACTTTGGTAGCTGAAAGTATCAAGGCTTCAGTTACCAAATTTGGTAGCAAAAACAACACAATTCACTACCAAATATAATTTGGTAACAAATAACATGGCGGTAAAAGAATTTTGGTTCCCGCCAAGAGCTTTTTACTACCAAAATAATATTTGGTAACAAAAACATAAGATTCTGCTACAAAAAATTTGGTAGCAAAATATGACTTTTTTGCTACCAAAATGTTTTGGTAACAAAAAGTTGGCGGGAAGCAAATTTTTTTCCCGCCCGAGGAATTTGCTACCAAATTATTTTTGGTAGCAAAACATATAACATTTGCTACCAAGAATTTGGTAGCAGAATCATGTTTTCTGCCACCAAAATTTGGTAGCGAAAAATTAAGTTTTTGCTACCAAAAGCATAATTTGTTGCTACCAAATTTTAGTAGCAAAAAATCAAGATTTTGCTACCAAAAAACTTAATTTTTTGCTACCGAATTTTGGTAGCAGAAAACATGATTCTACTACCAAATTCTTATTTTTGGTGACAAAAACGCGTTTTTTGTTACCAAAACATTTTGGTAGCAAAAAATGCCTTTTTGTCACCAAAATAAGAATTTGGTAGCAGAATCATGTTTTCTGCTACCAAAATTTGGTACCAGAAACTTATATTTTTTGTAACCAAACATTATTTTGGTAGCTGAAAGCACACTTCTTGCTACCAAATATGAATTTGGTACCAGAAACTTATATTTTTTGTAACCAAACATTATTTTGGTAGCTGAAAGCACACTTCTTGCTACCAAATATGAATTTGGTACCAGAAACTTATATTTTTTGTAACCAAACATTATTTTGGTAGCTGAAAGCACACTTCTTGCTACCAAATATGAATTTGGTACCAGAAACTTATATTTTTTGTAACCAAACATTATTTTGGTAGCTGAAAGCACACTTCTTGCTACCAAATATGAATTTGGTACCAGAAACTTATATTTTTTGTAACCAAACATTATTTTGGTAGCTGAAAGCACACTTCTTGCTACCAAATATGAATTTGGTACCAGAAACTTATATTTTTTGTAACCAAACATTATTTTGGTAGCTGAAAGCACACTTCTTGCTACCAAATATGAATTTGGTACCAGAAACTTATATTTTTTGTAACCAAACATTATTTTGGTAGCTGAAAGCACACTTCTTGCTACCAAATATGAATTTGGTACCAGAAACTTATATTTTTTGTAACCAAACATTATTTTGGTAGCTGAAAGCACACTTCTTGCTACCAAATATGAATTTGGTACCAGAAACTTATATTTTTTGTAACCAAACATTATTTTGGTAGCTGAAAGCACACTTCTTGCTACCAAATATGAATTTGGTACCAGAAACTTATATTTTTTGTAACCAAACATTATTTTGGTAGCTGAAAGCACACTTCTTGCTACCAAATATGAATTTGGTACCAGAAACTTATATTTTTTGTAACCAAACATTATTTTGGTAGCTGAAAGCACACTTCTTGCTACCAAATATGAATTTGGTACCAGAAACTTATATTTTTTGTAACCAAACATTATTTTGGTAGCTGAAAGCACACTTCTTGCTACCAAATATGAATTTGGTACCAGAAACTTATATTTTTTGTAACCAAACATTATTTTGGTAGCTAAAAGTATATTTTTTATTATAATGTTATTAGAACAATAATTCTTAAATAATTTTTGACATTAAAGCGTTATTTTTTTAATCTTTAATATATGTCTTTCTGGTACCAAATTCATATTTGGTAGCAAGAAGTGTGCTTTCAGCTACCAAAATAATGTTTGGTAACAAAAAACGCGTTTTTGTCACCAAAATAAGAATTTGGTAGCAGAATCATGTTTTCTGCTACCAAAATTCGGTAGCAAAAAATTAAGTTTTTGCTACCAAAAGTTGTGTTTGGTAGCAAATCATATAAAAACTTTAAAACTTACATTTTGTGCATGTATTGTTTTTTTTTGTTTTCCATAAATATGTCCTATATTAAGTTTTAACAATCATTCTAGTATATTTTGTATAACAATTATTTGATAATTTAATTATTTTGTGTAGGTGTAGCAAGAGACATGTTCATATGTATATATATGTGATATTGTTAACTAAGTATATGTTCCACATAGAGTAGTATATAATTTCCTTATTTGATTGATTTTTAACTTTGAATAATGTATCTCAATTTTAAAAGTATATTTTTTATTATAATGTTATTAGAACAATGAATCTAAAATAATATTTGTCATCAAAAAGTATTTTTTTTTAATTTTTTAACATATGTCTTTCTGCTACCAAATTAAATTTTAGTAGCAAAAAAATATACTTTTAGCTACCAAAATAATATTTGGTAACAAATAAAGAACAAAATTTTGGTGGGAAAATCAATTTAACCTTAAAAATTAAACACACACACTTCAGTTTCATTAAAACAAAAAAAAGCCCTTCCCCTTCTACCTTAGAAACTCGGCCGCCCAAAGATTTTCTTTCTTCGGAAAGGAAACACTTCGTCATCTCCGCATCTCTGCCAGAAATTCCTCCGCCTTTCTTTCTCTCTCTAGCCGCTGATTCTCGGCGTCGTAGGCTCCGATTCTAGCTTCCGCCGCCTTCGATTGTCACTGTCGTCGCCGCCTATTGTCGTCGTCGCCGCCTAGTTGCCGACAAATCTAGTTGCCGACAAATCTAAGATCTCTCCCCTCACCATCAACGCCTCCTCATTTCCGGTCAGTTTTATCTCCCTCTCTTTCTCTTTCCCTTTCTCATCGTGGAATAGTTTTTGTTTTTATAGCATTTTAGGACAAGAATCTGTTTGAATCAGATTCTTGTCCAGAGCCACCCACGGCCCACCCATCCTCACCCTCACCCACCGGCACCGCCGCCCTATTCTTGATGTTATGTTTTGTTACAAAATCGATACAAAATCTAAGGGATTATGCAAGAAATGTGGTTGAGAAAAAGGCAAGGGAAGAAGCTGGAAAGGTTTTGATCCGCATGAAAGATAGGTAAAAAAAATAAAAAACTGGTGATCCATTTCTGCTAATTTTAATTTTTGGACACACCTACAATTTTGGGAACTTTTTTCTTTTTTAGTTTCTCAACAGTCTTCAATCATGACAATGATTCGATGCCAAGGGTCAGGACTGGGAAAGAAGACATTAGAGCTATTACAAAGGAAGCTCGTTCTGCTGTAAGTTTCTAAGTACTTTCATTCGTTCTACCAAAAAGCCAGATAAAATTGAAAGAATACTCTTTTCCTCTCTCATGGATGGAGCTGCTGTTTGACCGCATGCTCTAAGTACTTTCATTTGTTATGTTTGTTATGACCGCATGCTATTTGATAAAATTACCGTTAGAATAGTGGTTATTATTTATTTATCTTGCTTTTCCTGAGCAAATTACCCAAGGTGCTTGTCTGTGGATTGTATTCTTTATTTAATTGGAATTTGATCAATTGGGTTTGTTTTGATTCGTATCTAAATGGGTGCAAACTGTTTTGATTCGTATCTAAATTACCCAAGGTGCTTTGCTTTGCTATTTGTATTGGCCAAAGCATATGGCGAGCTACCACAAGGTTATTGAAGGTTACAGCAGAGAGTTCCTAGCCTCTCTCGGGATTTTAAACGAGGTGGGTGAGAATGATTCAGTTCCAATTATTCCTACATATAGTATACTGATTGATAATTTTGTGAAGGCTGGAAAACTGGAAGTGGCTTTGGAGTTGTATGAGGAGATTTCATCCTTTACACACTTAACTCCTTTGAGCAGGAATATGTATAATTCAATTATTGAAAGCCTCTCAAATACAAGTAAGGTTGGAAAGGGATTTGAACTGTTTGCAGATATGTTAAGGCGAGGTGGAATTCCGGAGTTAAGTACGTTTGTTCAACTTATCAAAGGACTAACTAGAGTTAATAAGTGGGATGAAGTTCTTCAGCTATCGGATAGCATATGTCAGATGGTTTGTCCTCTTTAACTCTTCGTCTCATTTTTCAAATTTACAAATTTCCTGAGCATTGATTTGCTTTTGCATAACAGTCTCTTGTTTTCTTTGGTTGTTAAAACATTCATTGATATGCAAGTCGTATGGCTCTTTGGTTCCTCATGCTTCTTGACATGATAAAATAATTATGATGTTGACAGTGCAATATAAAGTATTTTTCTCTTTAAGAATTTTAGACTTGCATTAAAGAAAAACTAATAAATAAAACTTGTTCCTAAGCTGAGTTCATGCGAAAGAAAGTACAAGATGGCATTAACATGTTTATGTTTTTATGCTTTGTTCATCATTGTGCATGAAGACAAGCACTCACAGTAAGATGTCTTTATGCAACATGTGTTTTCTATAAGAATATGTGGTCTCTCTCTCTCTCTCTCTCTCTCTAACCTTGTTGTTGTTGTTGTTGTTGTTGTTGTTGTTGTTGTTGTTGTTGTTGTTGTTGTTGTTGTTGTTGTTGTTGTTGTTGTTGTTGTTGTTGTTGTTGTTGTTGCTCTCTCTCTCTCTCTCTCTAACCTTGTTGTTGTTGTTGTTGTTGTTGTTGTTGTTGTTGTTGTTGTTGTTGTTGTTGTTATTGTTTGTAGCTATATTGCCGGAATAAATGCATACTGCTGCTGCTGCTGCTTTGTTGTTGTTGTTGTTGTTCTTCTTCTTCTTCTGCTGCTGCTTTGTTGCTGTTGTTGTTGTTGGTGTTTGTAGCTATATTGCCGGAATAAAGCTGCTGCTGCTGCTGCTTTGTTGTTGTTGCTATTGTTGTTTGTAGCTATATTGCCGGAATAAGTGCATGCTGCTGCTGCTGCTCGTTGTTGTTGTTGTTTGTAGTTATATTGCCGGCTGCTGCTGCTCGTTGTTGTTGTTGTTGTTGTTGTTTGTAGCTATATTGTCGGCTGCTGCTGCTGCTGCTCGTTGTTGTTGTTTGTAGCTATATTGCCGGAATAAATGCATGCTACTGCTAGCTGCTGCTGCTACTGTTGTTATTGTTGCTGTTGTTTGTTAGAGCGTTTAATTCTTATAATATTAAGATTTTACTAGTATAATATTTGCATAAGTGTTTAGTATTTTGTTTGGATTCTAATATGTATTGAAATATTTAGAGATTTTTAAATTAATATTTGGTATTTTATTTATATATTTTTTTAAAAAAAATACAGGTACATAAATCTGTCTATTTGCTACTAAATATTTGGTATTTGATTCTTTTTGCTACCAATTATATTTTGTTATCAAAATTTTAGTAGCAGAAAGCTCACACTTTTTGCTACCAAATATATTTTGCTACCAAAATTTTGATAGCAGAAAGTTCATACCTTTTGCTACCAAATATATTTGGTTACCAAAATTTTGGTAACAAAAAGCTCGCACTTTTTGCTACCAAATACTTTTTGCTACCGAAATTTTGGTAGCAAAAACCTCACACTTTTTGCTACCAAATATATTTGGTAGCAGAAAGGTCACATTTTTTGCTACCAAATAGATTTTGTTACTAAAATTTTGGTAGTGGAAAGCTCACACTTTTTGCTACCAAAAACCTTTTGTTACCGAAATTTTGGTAGCAAAATCCTCACACTTTTTGCTACCAAATATATTTGGTAGCAGAAAGGTCACATTTTTTGCTACCAAATATATTTTGTTACTAAAATTTTTGGTAGCAGAAAGTTCACACTTTTTGCTACCAAAAACCTTTTGCTACCAAAATTTTTGGTCTCCGAATATTATACATTCTGCTACCAAATACATTTTATTACTAAAAAATTTTTTGGTAGCAAAAATTATTTGCTACCAAAACTTTGGTAACTAATACCTTCTGCTACCCACTTTTTACTACCAAACTTTTTTGGTAACAAAAACATTTTGCTACCAAAAACAGGACTTTTGGTTACCAAATTTTTGGTAACAAAAAATTCAAATTCTTGTAGTGAAATTCAATAACGTGTTGGTGACATAAATGATCAAATACAAATGCGTTATTTTCAAAGAGAGCAAGATGAGATGGGTACGATCTTCCAACAACAGCTACGAAATGAGAGCCTTCTTTTATTTGCTGATCAAAGCTACGAAATGAGAGCCTTCTTAAAAACGTGCGAAGTGAGATGGTAATTTTCATGAAAAGACTAGAGGAGCATCTTTATCAAATTTCAATCATCCCAACAACTCCACTACTGCCATCCATCACCATGATCACTTGCATGAGTCGTTTGATATATATTTAAGTAAAATTTGTTTATACTTGGAGATATACTCATTTATTTTAGTTATATGTTTATGTATTCAGTTTGATATTCTTATTTTTCGATATATATATATATATATATATGCTCAACTATTTATTTGATGTTTACTTTCAAACCTCAATCGAATTTTATGCTTTAATTGACCTTTAATGTCTCTAATTAGACGACGATTTTATAAGAAATTATCGTATAATGTGCTGGCCCAAAACATAGGCCAACTAACAAAATATTAGATGACGATTTCTTATAAATCGTAGTCTAATATTTATATTAGACGGCAGTTTTACATAAAAATGTCGTCTAATGTGAGCGCGGAACCCAAAAATAAAATTTAACCTCGAATCTGTCTTCATTTTGAGAGAAACTAAACTCAGAACCTTCACCGATATTTCTCTTCCTGTGAACCATATCGCCGCCATCCACCGCCCAAAAATCTCTCTCTCTCTCTTGACGCCACCACAGCCATTCTCTTTCTCCGTCTCTCTCTCCGACTCTCACTTTGTCTCTCACTCCGTATCTCGCTGTCATACGCTCCAAGCCGCCCTGGTGTTCACCAAACCGCCAAGCGTCCGCCAGCAGCCTTCACCGTCATTGCCAAACCACCAACTGTCGTCGCTAAGTTATAATATTTTTTAGATTTAAAATTTATAACTATAGATTAGATGATGGTTATTTTCAATTAGGTTAGACTATTAGACAGCGGTTTTTTTTTTTAAATTATTATATGATTGTTAGGATTAGATCTAATTAATTAAATTTCTAATATTATTTGAATATTTGAATGTAAATGTGAATATATTTATTGTATATGATTTAAGAAGTTTTAAATTAGTTAGGCTAGGATTAAGAATGAAACTAAATCTAAATTTGAGTTATTTAGTATATTTTTTTGTATATATTGATTAGGTTAGATTAATTCAATGTTGATTAGGCTAGTTTTAAGTTATTTAGTTTAGGATTAAGAATAAAACTAAATCTATATATGTTGATTCTTAGAAATATGGTGAGCCATGATTGATTCGAGGAAGAACTTAATACCGCATGCGAGTTATTTGGTGAGGAAGGCACTTCTAATAGTGCAGATCAAAATAAACTTAGGAAAAGAACAAAATTTGACCCGGATGATGATGGGAAATGAAGGGCAGCCATAATGCGTAGAGTTGCCAAAATGAGGGATAAAGGAGAAAGAATATAAGTGTAATTTGATGAAAAAAATAATCCCATTAGAAAAGTAGAAAATGAGCTACAAAGTTATGTCAGTGTTTTGGCACGTGAACATGTGCCAATAACAATAGAAGATTGGAGACATAAAGAAAATAAAGATAGCGTGAATGAAATTTAGCATGATTTGGTTCAAAGTTTCACGGTTCCAGAGACTACAAAAAATACGAGCTTACTTGTGCGGCGAAGATGACTCGGGACTTTATGTCGAACCTATTCATGACATTTGTTAAAGTCATTAAAGGATAGTCCCCAAGTCTTTGAACTCCCAAAGAAAGTGGCTAGAAACTACCCTTCAATTATCCCGGAGCAATGGAGGATGTTTGTGGAGTATAGACTTAGTGACGATCGACAAGCCGATCTAAAGAAGCATATGAGAGAAGAGGATCATATAAGTACCTGCATAAGAATGCTCATGGGGGATATAGGAAAGCAGAGGAAGATTATGCAAGTCTTCAATTACTTTTTTTGAATGATATTAATTACTTTTTATTTGTATTACAATCTTTAATATACTTTTTAATTGAATGCAGATGCGAATGTATAACACTACGGAGATGCTGGATCGAGCCATTTTATGGCAGTTCATACGCAAAAAACGGGACAGAACTTACAAAATTTTAGAATGCGAAAAATCAACAAATTAATTGTGAGTTATTGCTTTTCTTTTTAATATTTGTTCGATCAATGGGAAATATACCAAGAAATTTTTAATACTTTTGTTCTAAATTTTGTGGAACCAATATGATGAAGAAGAGTCCTAGAAAAAGTCTCAATCTCATGAGACTGATGATGTGCTTACTAGATCATTGGGAAACTTAGAACACTCAGGTCGTGTTCGTGAGCAATCCCAATTTATCAAAAAGTCAACTTATTTTCATTCTGCCAACAGATCAAGAAAGGATGAGGAGTTGGCAATGCTGCGCCATACCCTAGCACCTGGAGGAGAAGGAATGGGAACTCCTACAGTGGATCAACGACATAGTGTTAAGGAGAGTTGTACTGTCCATAATGTACGCCACTGGCAGAGCCCTCCTCATCAGGCCTTGGTGATGGTAGTAAGTGCATTCTTTTGGTTCCAATGGAGGGAAAGAACAATTTTATCGTTATTACGACGGGGATAACATGGTTGGACAGTCGCCCTACTGATGTTGTCCACGGTGTCGCACTTGGGAGAGAAAATGTACGCGTCTCTATTCAATCGACTTATGTGAGAGACGCACCTCTGCCTATCCCTACATAGCAAAACTGTGGGTGATGCTCTCGGAGGATTTGTTGTCTGGCCCAGGAATTTGGTTGAACTAGGGTCCTTGAGTAAAGTTAGTAAAGTTCCGGCCGGAAACAAACTCATGGAGAATCCTCTGGAGCCGACGAAGAGAAAATCTAGGAAACAAAAAAAGTTGAAAAATATACAAGGACCCACCAGGGACGAGGAAGCAACACAATCATTGTCAGAGCAGTTGCAAGGGTTGCCCATAAAAATGCATGTCTTAATGATTCATGTGCGACAATCGATGGACATCGGTGGAACAATTTAGATTCACCTTTGATTCGATATGACTCCGGTATATAATATGCAGATCTTCATTACGACCGATGATATCGAATGGATGGTCACCTATCAAGAACTTAGTGTTGTGTGTATCATGGCTTGCATGTGGTAACATAACTATCCTTACTACTTTTTCACAATAAATTATTATTTATTATTAAATGTATAACTATCTTTTTCATTTTTCATGTAGTCACTTGTGGCATGTGTGCAACCAGGAGAATGTCCTAAGATGTTGGGGTTTCATGTCCCCAATGCTCATGTCATACGTTCCAGGCCAAGCGGAACTGGATATAGAGCGGCGGGCAAACGCCATTTGTACATTTTTATTACAATCGGATGCCTGACACACTTTTTTCATGCCATAAAATAGAAGAGGACATCGGATGTTGGCCATGATATCTCCCACACAAGATAAGGTTGTGTGGTTGGATCTCCTCACGGTGAAAGTACGCGTAGATTTCAGAAGAATGATTGCCCTGTAAGTTTAGCATTCTTTATAACTTTTGAACTACTACTTTATATTATTAATTAATTGATGTTTTATCATTTATTAGTGTGTTACATGGTTGGAAGGCGCAAACAAGGCTTAAGTTTGAACGCCATACGGATGGGTTCACAAAATTTCTCATCCCAAAGGTAAGTTGTTGTTTATAATTTCGTTCATTGAATTACTCAAACTTAAGGAATTTTCATGTACTAAATTTTTTATTCATTATCAGAAAATTTTGACACAAGAGGGGAACAAAGAATGCAGGTCTTACGTTATATGCACGATATAATGAGAGTCGGTGTTAATGATTTAAAAAACATAGAGGCATATATTAATGAGCATTTGGTAGAAGTGATAAATGAATGGGTACATCTTGTAAAGGGACATATATTTTAAAGATACATATAATATATGTAAAGGGACATATAATTTAATTTATGTATGCGTTTTGATTTGAATATATGTTTTATATTCTGTTACTTGTGACTTGTGTTAATTGTGTGGCCAAAATGCTGATAAATCACGGGATTAATAAGCCTACTTGTGGAAAAAGCAATAAAACATAACCAATTTTCTTGATGTATAAGGCATATATAACGATGGTTTTAGTTAAAAACCGTCAATATATCTGCCTTAAATGTGAAACCGTTGTACTTACAATTGAAGAAACTGTCGTTAAATATGAAACCTAACCGTCAAAATTATCATTTTGGGAAGATCTTAGACGACGATTTTGTATATAAATAGTCGTCTAATGTTCTGTGTAACGACAGATAAAAATCATCGTTAAATCGTACAACAATTTAATGACTCTTGATTAGACGACGGTTCTCTTAACCGGCGTCTAATTTTTTAACAACAGTTATTAACGGTCGTTAAATCCCAAATTTCTACTAATGATACTATTATAGTACGTACTGTTTAGATATTTGATTTACCTATAGTTTTTCTTTTCTTATTTTATTCTAAGTTTACTAGTGCTTCTATGTTCCTTAAATCAAAATAAATTAATAATATAACTAATTAATTAATCCCTTTGACCACTAGAACTTAGTCATTCAAAATGGAAACCACTTGATTCTAGCGATTACATTTCAGTTTGTCTAGGCAAAAAAATATCTTAAATTGCAACTAAAAGTTGGTGGGAGCTTAAAGATAGGAAACAAATTGTTCATTAATTACAAGTCACGACAAAATTGAAAATAGAAAATGCAATAATAAAAGTTGAGATCTAAGTTATAAATTATCTCCTTAATAGGAAAACGTGATGTTTTTTATTTCCCACCCCCACCCCCAAGTAACTAGTAAGATCAAAGAAATTATTCCATAAATCTAGTGTATTATGTAATATACTCATTTAATGAATTATAGATATTTGTGCATTTTGTCCATATTAATCCAATTTAATAATATTTTTCTTTCTTAATATTCATTTTTTAAAAAACTTTTATTGTTTAGTTGTAATTGTCATAAATATTTCATTAAATTTTCATTATTAATTAATTTTAAACAACGATATTCTTAATGATTTATCACAATCGTTTCTACTCTAGGAAACTTATTGGATTATCTTAAAAATAATATTAATAAAAAACACTAAACCTTTTTCATTATTTGGCAGGAACTTGATGAATTGAAATAAATAATACGAAACCATGAAAAGCACTAAAAGATGAGCAAAGAGTCATGGAGTGATTCTTCATTTTTTTTTTCTTGCAAAATGATTCTGGCAGAATTTTTTAAGGAAAATATTATATGACATTTTTTAATTTTTGGGAAATAAATATGCGAATTAATTGATTTTAATATTGACAAATATATATATATGTGTGTGTGTGTGTGTGTTTTTATTTATTTTTATTTTTTTTATTTATAATCTGTTGAGAAAAATAACATTAAAACATTTATTTTTTTAATTTAAATACAGAAATGATGCTATGGAGCATTTTTTTTTCCTGTCAAACAAAAGAAGTTCCACCATTTTTTTATAAGTTCTGCGACTTCCATCGTCTTTTAGAAGAAAAAGATTTTTTTCCCCAATAACAGTTGTTTAGTGGAAAAATACTACTTAATACAAATAGATCTCGCACATAGTTTTTTATTTTATTTTATTATTATACCAGATAAAAAAGGTTTTAATGCTTTTTGATCACGTCCGACCACCTTTAGAAGGTGTTAGTTTCCTTAATCAATTTAAATAATTTTTTCAAGAAGTGTTAAGACTATTCTAATCAAACAATAAAAGTACAAGGAAAACACATTATTAGGAAAGAGAAAGATCATTAACTAAAGCTGACGTAAACAAACCAGAACAAATGTTAAAAATTTATTGAATTGATATACCACATCACTAAAATGACGTGGTACATCCGGTTCACTAAATTAAGACTTTCTAATCATGATTGAAGGTAGTATTGTTAATAAGGAAATTGTAGTAATTAATAACATATTTTTAAAATTAAATTAAGTCAATAGCAGATTTTAAAATTATTTAAAGTAAATATCAGTAGAAATAAGTAAAAAGTATAAAAAGTACAAAGTATTTTTTTTTCTGTTTTTTCTAAAGCTCTAAGTAAAAAAAATATAAAAAAAATAATAGATAGCAAATAAATAAAAAGTACAAAGGGCAAAGGGCATAAATGAAAAATAAATTAACCACTTTTTCTTAAGCTCTAACTAAAATAAAGGATAACAATTAACTAAATAGTACAAAAGATAAAGGGTATAAACAAAAAAAAAATTGGTCACCAGCTATTTGCTTCATCACATTTATTATATATAATAGAAATTATTATTTCGTTCTAATAACTTCTGACTCGGAAAAATGAAAAGGATTGTTTTTTTTTTTTTCAACATCGAATAAGCATTCCTATTTCTGCTTTTTTTTTTTGGTTCCCCGGGGGATTTCACATTATCCTTGCATGGTTATCTCACTCTGGTTAATTATTCTTCTTAATTTTATTTTTCTCCTCTTATATTATTTTCCATTTAGTTTTTCTTTTCTCCTTCAAGTTCATTGTCTCTAATCACACACCCTTTATTGAGAAATTTTCTTTCCGGAGAGAGATGAGAAAGCTTTGATCTGATTTGTCTGAAAGGTTAGAGAGCTTTTCTGGGTTTGATTGTTGAGACTGAAAAACATACAAAAATAAAAAATAAAAAAAATGATTCTTTCGTTTTTCAACAAGTCCATCACATAATGCGGCCGGCACGTTGATAATTTATTTTGCACTTAATGTAAATATATTTATATAAAATTCTCAGTTAATTACTATTATCTATGTTAAATTTTTAAAACTTAATTCATTAATTTTAATGTAAAGGACCAAAACAGTAAAAAAAAAAAAAAGTTCCGGAATCAAATTAGTGACATAATACTCAAATAGGCTGAACAGTGCTAATTAAAACCTCAAAAAATTGTATCCAATTTTAACTAAATCAAACACCATTTTTAAGCAATTGAAGATTTAAAATATACTTTTTGTAATCGCTGGAAATATAATGTTAAATTTAAATAGTATTTCACTTGAACTTAAGGGCTGATTTTGTAAAATTTTTTTACTGAGTTGCGTTAGATATACCAATTGAAATCTCAAATTTTTGTACCAACACTGAGTTGTCATTTTTTCAATAACAAATACAATGTTTTGTTATTAATTAATGTGACAATATTTTAAATAACTATCAATTAATTAAAAAATGACAATTCCAAATTGGTATAACAATTGGGATTAGAGTTGGCGTCTTTATGACATTTCTTTTTAAAAATTATAGTAAATAGCAGATATATGAAACTAAATTAAGTAAATAGCAGAAATTAAAAGTATTTTGAGATAAATAGCAGTTTACCGTGTAAATGTACGCTAATAAAAGATAATTTACCTAGTAAGCAATTTTTATTTACTTGAAAAAAAAATCTTTTTATTAATTATAAATGAAACATTTATACAGTTCCATTTACTTCAAATAGTTTTAAAATCTACTAATTTACTTAATTTAGTTTACAAAATTGCTATTTACTATATTCTCTCTATTCTTTTCTAAAAGTTCAATAGTAGATTCTAGAATTTATTTTCTTTAGATGACGATAAGGATCATCATCTACTATTTGTTTTTACCAAGTGATAAAAAAATGTATAAATTTAACAATTGTGCTTAATATATGATATCGATAAAAGATTGTTATTAAAATGACATTTTTTAATATCACTCAATACGACGTCAGTAGCAAAACTGACGTCAAAACATCTTTAACAATGGTTTTTGACTCAACTATAAACTCCGTTTTTGTAGTAGTTATAATCTTGAAAACATTCAAAATAAGGGGTTACTTTTTTACAAACTCAAATATAGGTTATAAAATAGAAATAAGCCTTTGTCGTACAGAGGCAGTGGAACTCTTTTCATGCTTATTTAATAATCTGTAAAACTATATTTAAGAAACTAAAGTTGCAAGTTTGGACCGGGTTAAATGGGTCAGCTCGTGGCTCACTACTGTTGATCTGAGCCTGGCTCTAAATTTTTTTAGGTTTGGGACCTGGTTGGGCCGATCTTCTCTCTTTTAGAGCCGGGTCGGGCCAGCCTAAATATCATATTTTTAAAGATTTTTTTGAAAATAGCTTATAAAATTCCATACCAGCCCAAATTTTTTTTGATCTTAAGGCTAGGCTGGCCCGACTCTTTCTCCTTTAGGACTGGGTTAGGCTAACCTATTTTTTTTTTTTTTTGAACTGCTGAGCTCGAGCCGAACGACCCAAACTTACCCCTCTACCAGAAACACATATATTCTCATTATCTAATTTTTTTTTAAAAAAAGAAACATATATATTCTAGCTAGAATAAAGGTATATATATCAACTTAAACCCATAAGGGGATGTACATATAGTTACTCACATCCTACACGCAGCCCAAAGCACAAATTTCTACATATATTCTTTTTGAAATGATCATTTCACTTCAATGCAAATTAATTATGGCTAGGATCTTTCACATGATATACGCCACATTTTGAACATAACGGAAAAGTCCAAATGCTAATTTAACTGCACAATTAATTGAGCTACAATGATAATGGCAAGACCCTTTTTTCCTCATCATATGTTCCTCGCATGCATTTTCATGAATCACACTTTGCGACAGTCTAATATCGTTTCACAAGAAAACCAAAACGCCAATTGGACTTGGTTTATGGTTAATCACTACGAATTGCCTACTTTAACCGTCCCTATTTATCTCTTATAAATAGATGAAGCACCGAATTAGTTCAAACAAAACTAGAGTGATCAGCCAGAATACCCCTTTTGTTGTTTGGTCAAGTTGGTCTAAAATTTTCTATCAATGGCATCAAACGGCCCATTTTCAACACCCGCCAAGTTGTTCTTGCTTTCGCTAATTCTAGCCATGTTATTCATGACTCGTCCAAGCGAGGCTCAAACTCAAAGACAAAACCAAACCAACCTAGTGCTCTTCTTCCAGGACTACGCCTCCGGACGCAACGCCACCGTCGTCCCGGTGGTAGGAATCACCGGAAAGACTTGGTCATTCGTCTCATTCGGCACGATATTCGCCATCGACGATCAAGTCACACAAACCCCGGATAAGAGCTCAGCTCAAGTTGGCCGAGCCGAGGGAGTGCTTGTAACATCGGCCTTGGACGGGTCTAATGTGAGCGTCTTAATCTCAATAGTGTTCAACAATTTGGAGTATAGTGGTAGCACTTTGGAGCTTCAAGGCGTTATACGTCAAAATGAGAGATATAGAGAGGTTTCTGTGGTTTCAGGGACTGGGAGATTTAGGTTTGCGAGAGGTTATGCTATCTTTGAGACTATATATTATGACAGGGCAACTTCGAACACAATCATTAGGTGTACCGTTACGTTAGGCTGATTTAGAATTCAGCACATTATTATATAATATAATCACGATGTGATGGAAGAAAATATTTAAGGGTGGATAGTATAATAAAGTTTCGCATCACTTTTATTGCTACTTCAAATTTCGGTCTTGTACGTATTAGTTTCCAAATAGTAGTGAGTTTTATTTTTTCTGAAAAAAAAAAATTGTGAAAGTAAATGACTAGATAATTTTTAATTCCTACCTACTAATAATTACAGTGAATAAGTGCTAATAGTACAAATATACTTTTGATTTTTTTTCCCTTCCTTTTTAAGCTGGAATGCATATTGCCTCAAAAGTACATATTAAATAACTGAATTGTGAAAGTAAAGAAAATGACAGAGGAAATTAACTAATTTGTTTGAAGACTAGTCAAAGATATGATCAACTAGAACACTTGTAAGAAACAGCTTGAGCTTTGAATAGTAACTCTTCGCATTTCTGAATTAATAATACGCCTCAGCTGAGGACGAAAATTAACCTCAAGTACTATTAGCGAAAGATCTCTTTCTCACTTTTGTGAAGAGTCATGTGATTTTTATGCTGAACTTATGAACTCTTTATAATATGTAACAAGAGCACCACCTAATGTCTCAGAAAGTTTAATTTTCTTATTTTATGTAGGAGTGCTTGTAAAGAAAAAGAAAAGAAGTAGTTATGAGTGTTTATGCCTCGTTTATTTCGTGGATTCGAGTTTTCAATTCGAGTTGAGATATGATATTTTTTTAGAACTTTTCACTGTAGCAGAAAAAGTTAAATATGACATTTTCTAAGAATTTTTTACTGTAAAAACAAAACTGAAAACTCGAATCGGTGAAATGAACGAGGCCTTAATGTGTGAAAATCAATAATTTATGTGGTTTAGATTAAAGACATTTAATGACAATAACTATTAAATTACAATTACTTTATACAAGATAACTATTACAACTCAGAGATTTAGAAATTAAATCATTAATTATATATCTACAGATCTATTTAATTTGTTAATTTAAATTAAAATTTAATTTTATAGAGAATTTTTTACTTCTTTTATTAAAAAAAACTTGGACTCTACAGCTGCATGCAGCCTAACTTTTCCTCTTTTGAGAATGGAGGCCACGTGGAAAAGCGCAGTACAGTTTATATTTTAGGAGTAATTAAAAAGTACATTAATACAGTTGTACACTTATATTTATGATGTCATCTTCGGAAACAACACACTTGGCATGCCCTGGATCCAGCTTCTTCACAAGTCACTGACTCACTATGACATTAATTATAAAATTATGGACCACACTGATTTTTTTTTTTTGTTTTTTGTTTTTTGTTTTTTTTTTTTTGCAGCTCACACGTACTAAAGATAATTAATTAGGAGATCACATTTCCTAAAGCCGTGTAAGATGCGGTTCCTCTAGATTCTGCTGGTAATATTTTGTCTCCAAGTAATTAGAACTTGAAGTGTATACCATTAGCAAATTATATTCTATAATATAATCTTTAGTTTTATACACTCAATTTTCGTAAAATGACGTAGATCGTTTGGAAGAAAGTGTGAATTCGATCCCATCTTATGTCAAAAAGACTCATAAAAATAAAATGAAATAAAATGCTAGCAATTTTGAGAAGATTAGAACAAGCTATTAGTACTCCTTCACAAGTTTTTCAGGCTATCAAATAATGAAAATTCTCAAGATTTGTAAATGCACTAGTGACGAAATCCAAGACGCCTCATGCATAAAAGATCATGTCCGCACATGGAGAATTCATTTAATATAATAAAATTTCAACATGATAAAGTACAAATTATCGGCACGGAGAATTCATTTAATATATTAATAATATTCCTACATATAAAAATACAAATTATCTGCATGGAGAATTCATTTAACTATAAGTTATAATATCACTAGACTAAAAAAGTAATTACGATCCCATGCTGTTAAGTTTGCCACTAAGCAAGTTAAACCAGTGGAAAATCATGCTAGAAGATTTTAATAAGCACTTTAATTTGCGCTTCAATGTATCGACAAGTCCAAATCAAGAAAATATGGCCAAGGCGCATTATGTGTGAACGATATGTGCACATGGAGAATTCATTTATTAGTACGCTATAAATTTATGTCTATTTATATTATATGTAAATATGAGAACTTTTTTGTTTCTAACTAAAAACATGATTTTTCTATTTTGATGTCTTCTCTTTATGACAGATTGGCTTTTCCACCTTTTTTTTTTTTTTTTTTTTTTTTTTATCGGTGTTCATCCATGTTGTTCACTCTTTTTCTTTTTTGCTTCTTTTTTTACCTTTTCTTTTTTTTTAAGATCGTCTTATGCATGTTGTTATTTCCATCTATTCATTTTTTTTTTTTTTGCCTTTTCTTTTCCGAAATTATTCCTTACTTTCTTAAATGTGTTTCTCTATTTTTTTTTTTTTTTTTTTTTTTTTTTTTTTTTTTTGCTTCTAATTTACTCTTTACCAAAATCAATTTTTTAAAGACAGCTCAATTTACATACTTTAACTGGAAAACACATTTTTCTTTTATAATCCACTGAAATATTATTATGGCCAATAATATCCTTTATAATAATTTTCTTTAATTCTTTACAGAAATAATTTTTTCTCACAAGTGGATTGTATGAAATAATTAAACTAGTATTATAAATAAATGGTACGTATTGCCTGCTTGCTGATAACGATCACTTACCATCATATTTCTGCCTTTTCGTGGGGAATTAGATTTGAAAATGGAACATTGCAAAAAGATCAACTAGGGAGGAGAAAACGTGATTTTTAAAGAAGTATCAAACAAAATGAATGGCCCACATAGGATGACAATATATTTCTGACTAATATGAATGGAAAGCATGCAAGTTGGGAGAGAAATATATTCCATATTGAAAAATCAAAAACATTTATTTATTTTTGTCTCCAAGAGATTTCGCGATTATGACTTTGGAGGGCCCTACCGTGGTTCACAAAGCTGGACACTGCTCCGTTCATGAATATTAACGATTAACTCGTTGCACCTCTCATCCAGCTGAGCTACGACACTACTTGTATATTTCTCCGACCGTACAAAAACTTTAGTTGGCAATCTTCCCAAGTCCAAACCTAATAAATAATTTGATCGATAGGCAAAGTGTGGTAGGGTCACATGTATTATCATATCTACAGTGGAGAAGTCAGACATCTATTTTAGTGGAGGTATATACTAAATTTTTGTCTTTAAATAATAAAAAAGCGAAATTCAATGAAGACATATATAAAAAAAAAAACGGTATTTTAACCGGACAAAACAAGAAAATCACAAATTTTAAAGGCCAGCGCTTTTTTTCAGAAAATAAAAAAGTTCAATGAGATCGGCTGCGCTACTCATCTCTAAGTGGCTTCGCCACTGCATATATATATATATATATATATAATCAAATGTGTATACGCATCCTGGCTACTACGTATACAATTTACGGAAAAAAAGTCGAAAGAAAAACGAAAATAAAAGAACAGATCTGTCCTTGCATTTGATATTGATCTCCCAATATAATTGCTAAAGATGGATGTTATACCTTCGTAAATTTAGACGACATGCAGGAATTAGCTACCCTTAATTAGTGTAGTCGGCCACTTAATTACTTTAGAAATTAAGGGAGAAAAAAAATGTAGCAAAAGCTTACATTAATCAGTAATTGGTCTCTAATCTTGGTTAAAAGAAGTGAACCACTAAGGAGTTGGTACTTTTACATCTGAATCCATGGCACAACCAAAAAGAAACAATATGAAATGATCTAGAGTGGCAGTGGGTCCCCACTGAGGCTCGATCTAGCTGTAAAGAAGCTCAAGACGAGTCATGATTCGTGACCACATGCGTAATCCACGCACAAATTAGTCCAAAAGGGCTTGCTAACGACTCAGCCGCCTTCACGATTAGTCCCTTTTATGTACCCTCTGACCGTACCTTTTGATCCCTTTTATCTTTATCTTCTTTCAACTTCATAGCTCATAGTGTCACCACGCATCCCTATATATATACACACACACACATACCCCAACTTAGACCACACCAAAACTCACCGTTAAAAAAAAAAAAAAAAAGATGGATCAGCTACAATCTGGACAAATCCAAATTGAGCTTGTGGTTGAAACACCCATAGAGGTAAAACCAAAATGTAAGCCTGATGATCATGATCATGATGAAAATTCCATGATTATCAAGGGGCGCACAGTATTAAGGCCAATCCTAACAAAATTCCACGCGGGCTACTTTCGCATAAGCCTATCACTCTGCGGCCAAGCTTTGCTATGGAAGATCCTAATGGAGCCAAACGACGACGTACACGCTTTGCGAAGCGTTTTCCGCGCGGTGCCCCCTACGGCCCTCAGCTTCCTATGGTCACTAGCTCTCTTCACATTGGCCTCGCAATCGCTTCTCTACATCCTCAGATGTTTGTTTTATTTTCAAATGGTTAAGGGCGAGTTTTTGCACCACGTGGGAGTGAACTACCTTTTCGCTCCCTGGATTTCCTGGCTCCTCTTGCTTCAATCCTCGCCTTTCATCACCCCCAACACTCTCTCCTACCAAGTGCTCTGGTGGGGGTTCGTCATTCCGATTGTGGTCCTTGACGTTAAGATCTACGGCCAGTGGTTCACCAAGGGGAAGCGGTTTTTGTCGACGGTGGCTAACCCGACGAGCCAAGTTTCGGTGATAGGAAACCTGGTGGCGGCGAGGGCGGCGGCGGAGATGGGGTGGAAGGAGTGCGCGGTGTGCGTGTTTTCACTAGGAATGGCTCATTATTTGGTTCTTTTTGTCACGCTCTATCAGAGATTAGCTGGGAGTAATAGCCTTCCGGCGATGTTGAGGCCGGTGTTTTTCCTGTTCTTTGGAGCTCCGAGTGTCGCAAGCTTTTCTTGGAGCTCTATTTCCGGGGAGTTTGATTCCGCGTCCAAGATGCTTTTCTTCCTCTCCCTATTCCTTTTCATGTCCTTGGTGAGTATATACATTTTTTATAGATTGAATAAAAGATAATATTTTGAAAATATTAAGGTGACAATTAGAAACGTAGTTTGTGTCATATGGTGATGCCGTACAAGATGCGGTCTTAGGTACAAAAAAGTCCAAACATGCCGGGTAAGTAAAGATTTTGTGTCCAGGTGCAGCCAATCCTTGTTGTCGTTTTCATATTGAAAGCAACATCAGAATTTTTGGTTTTCTAAAACGTCATAGGATCGTCCTTTTAAGTTCAAGTGGACTACAGCCGAATTAAAAGACACAATAAAGACATAACCTCAGAATTTTATTTATCAAAAATAAATAAATAAATAAGTAAAAGACACTATAGAGAGGACCACTACTAAATTTCAAAGGCCATAAAAAAATAAATATCCATAAAAAGTAACTACTAGCTGCTAAGTATATGTATATTCTAATATATATATATATATATATATGTTCTTTTTCCCTCGGTGTATATATTGATCATATATAATAACAGGTTTCGAGACCTACATTGTTCAAAAAATCAATGAGAAAGTTCAACATGGCATGGTGGGCATACTCGTTTCCCTTGACGGTGTTGGCATTAGCTGCCACAGAGTATTCAGAGGAGGTGAAGAGTGGCGTAGCTCATGCGTTAATGCTAGTCTTGTCAGCTATCTCATTTTTGGTGTGTTTGATCTTAATAGTAATCACTGCGCTGCATTCAAACATGTTTTTACCGGAGAGCAATTCTCGTCCTCGTTCAACTACTCCTAATAAGCGTAGTAGTACTAGACCTGTATCAAGATGTTAGTCAGCGTACGTAACAATTTTATGTTACGTACATTATAATCAATTAGCGCATGTACAGAATTTTTTATTTTACATGAGCTGGAATTCATTTTCTATGAGATTTACATGAGTTCATATTATATATATATATATATATATGGTGTTACAAACCCTGAGCGAGCTAGATCAAATTCCGAATGGATAAAAGCGATATTCTTGTTTGTAGAACCCAAAAGGGGTACGTAAGCGATATTCATGTCTTATTAGACTGAACAGCAGGAGCCCAATTCTGTTTTTGTTTGTCATTTTCCCGTCACTTTCCACGCACGTTCGCAAATATTCGGTGCTTCAAAGAAGAAAACGGAGACAATAATTGAATTAATAGTTGAGATTTAAATATATATTTTTTATATATATATTAGTTGATCAGAATTAATGTGTTATCGATGATTTCGGCTGAAACACAAATCCATTTGAAGCTTCCTCGCATTTTCTTCTACTTCCACAATCTTCCGGAATGGCTTTGCCCAAAATTTAGAGCCCATTCTTTTAGTGTGTTAAAAAATCTAGTACAACATGTTAAGATCGTAAGTAGATAACTAAGTAAACTTTACAATATTTACAATATTTTACAATATTTAGTTAAACAATTTAGTTTATAATATTTTATTAATCTTTCGATTTTTTCTAATAAACTTTAGTTAAACAATTTTATGGTTTGAAATTACCTAATAACCCTAAAAAGGATATGTGACCTTCACATGTTTATGTTGAAAATTTTTGTTGTTGTGTGCTGTTAGTAATAAGTTGTTGTGACTAGAAGCATATAGGTGTTTAGTAAATATTTTTACAAAATTATTGTGAATACCAGAAGTTAAAATTTATGTGTTTTATAAACTGTGTATAAAATTATTGTGGTGATGTATAATGACGAAAGTAGACATACTATAGAACATATTTATAGTTAGTTTTGTTTCTATTCTTATGGTCAATATTCAAAATATGAAAAAAAAAGTATTAATTAAAATATTTCTTAAAAATAAATTACTTTTATTGATAGGGAAAAATTATTCATCTATAGATTTTCTTATTTAATGTTGTTATTTTAAACATTTTGATAATTATTAAAAATATTTGAATAAAATTTAGCATAGTATAATTGTTAAAGCTTTTTAATTTTCAAATAATTATATTAAAAATGTATATTTTTTAATTTGGTATGTAAAAAGTAAAATAAGTAGATTAAGAAATAAGTTTTATTATTAAGATTATCTCAGTGAATTTGGACAATGACAATAAAATATGTTGTGTAAAAACAACGCCTCACTTGCTTTTTAAATTTGTTGTTCAACAATAGGTTTTAAAAGCTATTGGACAAAAGCAGGATTTACTAAACATCTTAACTTGTTGTAGCTTTTTTTTAAAAAGCTAAAAACAACCTCTAAAAACAATATCAAACAAGCCCTTATATAACTTTGAAGTTTTGAGAAACGAATGATACAAATTCAAATTCAGGAGCACATTATTACAATGCTAAAAGCTTTTAAGGAAATTTATGAAACCATTTAATTTCTTTTACTCTCTCATGGTCGATTTGTGACCCAATGCGTTATTTCTGTTTTTTTTTTTTAATTAGATTTGTTTGTATTTTTACTTTTTATAATGTGTCCTATTTTATCAATCTTATTCTGATTATTTTTAGATTTAAGGGTTTGAGATTTAGACAATTAAGAGATTTTTCTTAGGTTTAAATTGGGATTTTAAAATTTTTATTCAATATGCTTTTTATCACTAATTTAACATAAGTATTATTAAAATGGTACACATTACGAATTTTTTGCAATTTACCAAAATTAAAATTTTAAAAAGCTAGTTACCAAAACACCACAATTTCATGGCTTAAATGTACAAGTAACCTCAAAAAGATATGAATTTTTTTTATTTTTTATTTTTTTGTTTCCAGAGTCTGAGGAAGGAAATTATTTATGGAGCAGGGGCGAATATAAAACCTTCCAAAAACGAGAATCTGCATGGAAAAAACTCGGGCCTGCATTGTCCTTGTTCGTCTTTATATAGGCCACGAAAGAAGATATGGAGCCCAGACAAAAAACAAAAGTTCAAGCCTACAAGGAAGCCAGTATATGAAACTTTTGGCGTATTTCACGAACGTTTTGCATGGAGAGAAATTTAAAAAATTACTGAACTTGTCTTAGAGTCAATGAGTATGAAATTTTATTATTTATTATTGATTAATATTTTTAAATTAATATAATTATTTGACTTAAAAAGATATTAATTAAAAATAAAAGTTAAAAATCTAAATCCATATACTTTAAAGAATACTTGTTTCTTTTCTTCGGAGATAAAAATCTCCGATAACAGCCCACTCTCACTCCTTTACATAACTTTCAGAGTTGGCGTAAGCATTAAGAAACAATACATAATTTAACAAAAAAACAAACCATAAGATTAATAACAGATTATATTAATGATAAATGCTCAAGCTAAGATTCAAAAAGAGGGGAAAAAAAGTTTCCAGAAATAGGATTTTTAAAGAACCTAAACCTACATTAACACAAGGAATACCGTAATAATGCTTACAACTCATATGTTTCTCTCTCTTAGACGCTTTAATTAAAAAAAAAATTTGGAAATACTATCAGTGTTAAGTACTACTATTAATAGAAAATAAACTCCAACCGTAAATTTTATATAGTGAAACCTACATTCTAGTAATGGATGGTGCTCAACACAACCGGTCCTTATAGCATTATTTATATAAGAATAATTTGTCTCGTTTCCTCTTTAGAATTAGGCATATATACTTGTCCATTATGCAATGCAATAGAACTATAGAACACTAATGTCCTATGAAATAGTACTAATACCAAACAAATTAGAAAAAAAAGGTTAAAAATATATAAATACCATATAAATGAATCCCACCCTTTGAAAACTTTTTCGAACGTACCATATTCAATTTTCCACTCAATTGATCACCATTAACTCATAAACTCTGTATTAATTAGAATCAAGATTAACTAGTTGACTATATGATTGTGCATTTGGATGTAATTACTCTGCTTTGTATTGGAAATTGACCAAAATAGAAACGTCGAAGTCTGACCTTAACAAACTAGCTCTCAGAAAGTTAGAAAGTGCAAAAGAAAAATGGAATATTTATGCTTAAGACCTAAATAAAAGGCAAACGGAAAGTTCTAGGCATATTCCACTTGGTGCACCTTTAGCCATATTGGGTGACCTAAGGGTGCGTTTAGTTGCAGTGAGAGAATGATAATGGGAATAGAAATAAGAATGGTAAGAGAATAGAAATAGGAATGATAATAGAATAGAATGGAAAGAAAAGATAATTCATTTGTTTGGTTCTACTTTTATAAATGCAATGAAATGAGCATATTGACAAAATTACCCATCATGCTAATATAACTAATATCATATATATTAATATAATCATTTAATAACTAATATTATATATATATAAAATTATAAGGATTGCAGTTACGGCCTCTGATAAGCGGCTGAAGTCACTTGGGGAAGAGGCTTCACGCTTGAAGAAAATGCTACTTCAAGTTGAGGATCAGTTGAGGCATTTCGAGAAAGAGAATGCAGAGCTGAAGACTAGATCAAGAAAGATTTCAAAGGACATCCTGGAATTAGAAAAGAAATTGCAGGAAGCAGAAACAGCAAAGAGGCTGCACGAGGAAAGAGAAATGGAAATAAATGCTGCAAAGAAATCCTTGGAAATGGCTAGGATTCAAGTTCGGCAGTCGGTATTTACGGTGTGATGTGGGTGGAACTTTGATTTTTGCTTTTGTTGTATAACTTAGATGATGAACCTGACAATGCCGCAGATTACAAGTCTTTGAATTAACATTTAGCTGAATCGTTGCAACTACTCGGTCAACTCTCCTATTTAATTTAAGTGCAGCAGTATGGAGTTTCCATTAAATATGATATTATTTTAATATACGTATATAATTATAATATATTATATTATATGTTATAAGATAGAATTACATTATAATATAAATTATTATAATATGATATTAATTATATTATAAATATTTATAATTATAATATTTAAGAGTAATGATGGAAAAGAAAATTAAAAGAGCTTAGAATTAGTATTCTTCTCATATAAGAAAGAAATAATGATTCACTCATTTAATGAAAAAATCATTTCATTTTGAATGTTCATTTCTTTTCTTGAAATCAACTAAACATTAGAATGAACATTAATTCCTTTTCATTTCCCCAACCAAACACACACTTAAGAATCTAATACAATATTCTTCTATCTTTCCGTATTGGCACTACAAGAAAAAGGAGGGTTTTGTGACGACAAAAAGTCGTCACAAAAACCCGAATGTCGTCGCAAATAAGGTTTTTTGCGATGACACGTCGTCCCAAATTTGTCGGTGCAAATAATTCGTCACAAAAACGTTTTTTGCGACGACATGGTGTCGTCGCAAATGTATTTGCGACGACAATCATCGCCAATACGTCGTTGCAAATTTCTCGTAATATGATCCATTTTTTGCGACGAGATTTCAACTTATCGTCGCAAATAATCTTATTTTTTTGCGACGACAAGTCTAAAAAAGTCATCGCAAAAAACTAAAATTAATTTTTTTTATAATTTTTAAAAAATGGCAATTAATTAATTTTTAATATTTTTAATTAAACATTATTATGTTACATACTGAATAGAATTTATTAAGATACATTAAAAGTGAAATATAAATTAATATTAAAAACAGTAAATCTAAATAAATTTATAAAATATATTATGAATACTACATGAAGTGCATATATAATGTTAAACAAATATAAAAGTCTAAATAAAGTGAAAAATAAAAAAGTACATATAACGGAACTAATCGTCTAAGTTTGCAGCATCGCCAGCATCTGAATCATCATCAGGACCGTCATCATCTGAAGGAGGCAGAGGAGCGTCTAGGTCAACTGGTTCTGGACGATCAATCGTAGTTAATTGGATGTTGGGCTGCAATTTAGCCATCAACTCTAACACCTTCACGTGATATGGCCAAGGACAGCTGATATGGCCACTTGAAGTTTCATAGTTTTTGGCGACCTCAATAAAAGCAGATAACCTATTCCAATATTGATCCGACAATCGGT